AGGTGCACCATTACCTGTCGGGTCAACAACATAGGTCATAGGTTCATCATCAAGTGACCCAGCTCAGGAAGAAGGAGGTGAACATGAGACATAGGTCAGCGTCTGTTCATCACCTCCCACAATATATATATACAGTATTCGCCACTGTCCTTCCCTCGTGTATAAAATATAGTCTGTCTATATATATCCTTGACCACAAAACATCGCCAGCACGAGCAGTAGGCTAGACGGCGCCTGGAGTTTTTCTTCCGTTTCTAACAATGACACGTTTATGGAAGCGACAGCAATAAAATGTTCGCTCACCTGCTGCCTACACTGGCGTTCTTTTATGGCAAGTGTATTATTTTTCCCTGTCGCCTGGAGAGTAGTGGCGGGGGAAGGTTGACACAGATAATAACAGTAGGGGGAGGGGAGAATTGGGGGAGGGGAGAATTGGGGAGGGGAGAATTGGGGAGGTGATTGTGGGCAGATTACATTAAAAAAACACTTTCTATATTCGAGGTTTTAAACTTGGTTCAGGTCTAACAAAATCGACTTATGTTTACACCTTAATAAAAAGAAAAATAAGCACAGTATCTCTATATCATACACATTTGAGCTCATCCACAACTTTATTGAAGACAGTTGGGGATGTTGTCTCTATTACAAGTTTAGGAAAATGGAAGGCACATTAAAGTCTTACATGAATACGTTATATGGTTCACCCACACCTGTTCATTTCCTCTCAGCTTCTAGGACCAGGTACCGTAGGACCTTCTGCCCCTTCCTCTCAGTGTTGGATACATCTGGGGTGTGGTCTTTAACGCAGGATACTTCAGGGATCTGGTCCTTAATGGAGGTTACCTCTAGGGTGTGGTCCTTTGTGCAGGATACTTCAGGGTTCTGGTCCTTAATGGAGGTTACCTCTTGGGTGTGGTCCTTTGTGCAGGATACTTCAGGGTTCTGGTCCTTAGCATAGGATACCTCTAGGGTGTGGTCCTTTGTGCAGGATACTTCAAGTATCTGGTCCTTAGCATAGGATACCTCTACAGTGTGATCGTTAGCGTAGGATACCGCTGAGGTGTTTTCCTTGTTATAGGATACTACTGGGGTGTAGTTCCTGCCAGGGGCGTGGCCGAGGTGGTCGTCCTGTCCTTGGGCCTGGCCGTGATTGTTTGTTGGTCCATGAGTGTTGGTGTGTTGGCTGGACGCCTCATTCCTCCCAGCCTTCTCGGAGGATGAGGGGTTGGAAGGTAAATAGTTAGGAGTGAAGAGGAAGAGGAGGGCGAGGAGGAGCGGGAGGGCGAGGGAGGGGCAGGTGTGGGCGTGGTTGTGTAAGGTAACGCCCACGGAGGTACCGTTCTTGTGGTGGATGGCTGCCGGGTGCTCGTCTGGCCGGAGATAAAGAAGAGTGTTACTGACAGAATGTTGTGGCACATGCAACCGTGACACTTCAACCACTCGGTATAACACGTAAATAATAGTGATACACAAGTAGTAACTTACTAGGTATAATATGAACCATAATGTGGTGAGGGTCGGCGTTGGCTGGTCTACAGGTGTATCTTCCGGCATCAGTGACGGTAGCTCGCTGTATGAGGAGCCTGGAGGAGGAGGTGGGCCCGTGTTCTGTGACCACCGTGATGCCGCCCCGGGGAGAGTCATATGATAGCAGCTGGGGGCAGGGAGATAAGGCTAAGTTAGGCCACTGAAGGTCTATGAAGATCGGTGAAGGTTAAGGTAGGTCAAAATAGGTCTAACAAGGTCATGGGAGTTTGAAGTAGATTAAACTAGGTCTCAGAAGGTCAGTGGAGGTTGAGGTAAGCGAAATTAGGTCTTAAGAAAGTCATTGAAAGTTAAGGTAGGTCAAAGTTGGTCTTAAGAAGGTCATTGAAGGTTGAGGTAGGTCAAACTAGGTCTAAGAAAGTCATGGGAGGTTAGTGTAGGTCAAAGTAGGTCTAAGAAGGTCATGGAATGTTAAAATAGGTCAAACTAGGTCTAAAGAGTCATAGGAGGTCATGGTAAGTTAAAGTAGGTCAAGAAAGGTCAAAGCTCGTCTTCTTAGGTCAAGGTAGGTCAAACTCCAACATTTACGACACAACAAAACTAATGAACAATAACACTTAAAAAGTTACTGTAACATAATTGAGCCTTTGTGAGACTTAAAAACTCTCACGTGACTCACACTGACTTTCTCAAAATTCGATGACTCACCTCCTCACGGTGACTGTTGCTGACTCTCACCTCTCTCACGGTGACTGTTGCTGACTCTCACCTCTCTCACGGTGACTGTTGCTGACTCTCACCTCTCCCAGGTAATCTCTGACCTCTTTACAAATGACTCCTCTCCTCTACCCAGAATGACAGGTGTTGCAGCTGACTCTGTGACTCACCTCACTCTCGTGGTACCAGAAGATGTAGGGTGGCGGCTCTGGACTGTGGTTGACGACACAGGTGAGGTTGATGGTGGAGCCCGAATTGATGTAGAGGTCAGGACCGCCCAGCACCCGGGTCTCTGGTTCTGACAGGAAGATAACACTCAGAGGAGGTTCTGATGATAATGGAATTTATTTGATGATGCTAAGACGACTTCTGACTACATGATAACGTGAGATGGAGTATTATAATAAGGCTTAGTTTATAGAGCATGATACTAACACACACACACACACACACACACACACATACACAGGTGGTCAGGGTATGATAGTAAAAGCAACGTGATAGAAGACCCGACACAATAATACCTTTACCGTCTCTGACCTGGCCGGGGATCGAACACACGTCTTGTAGATTCACAACTTCAGAGCGTTACCAATTTATCCACCACTTCCCTTCTTCACTATCTCCCCCTTTCCTACCCTCCCTCCCTCCTTCCTTCCCCTCTCTCCTCCCTCCCTCCCTACCCTCCCTCCCTCTTGTTTGATATTGTCTCGGTTATTGTGCTCGTTCATTACGGTGTCCTCGCTCTAACAACCACGCTTCTGCCAGCTTGATTGGCCAAGAGCCTCCGCGCTTTGATGGTCATAATAACCTATTGATGGTTATTTTAGGTTGTGGTTGGTGCTTGGTGCCTAATGTGGTTGTTGGTGTGGTTGTTGTGAGTGTTGATGGCTGTTGTGGTTAATGGTGGCTGCTGTGGTTGGTTTTTGGTGGGTTTTGTGGTTGTTGGTGGCTGTCATGGTTATTGGTGGCTGCTGTGGTTGTTAGTATGATTTTTGTGATTGTTGGTGGCTGTTTTGGTTGTTGGTGACTGTTGTGCTTGCTGTGGCTGCTGGTGGTTATTGATGATTGTTGTGATTTTTGTGGTTATTATGTTTGTTGTTATTGTTGGTGGTTGGTGTTGTTGTTAGTGGTCGGTGTGACTGTTGGTGGTTGTTGTGGTTGTTAATGTTTGATATAGTTTTTGGTGACTATTGTGGTTGTTGGTGGCTATTGTGGTTATTGGTGGTTGTTGGGGTGTTGGTAGCTGCTGTGGTGATTGATGGTTGTGTGTTGTGTTTGTCGTGTTTGTTGGTGGTTGGTGTGGTTGGTGGTGGTTGTTGTGGTTATTGGTGGCTACTGTGGTGATTGATGGTTGTTGTGGTGATTGGTGGTTGTGTATTGTGTTTGTCGTGTTTGTTGGTGGTTGGTGGTGGTTGGTGGTGGTTGTTGTGGTTGTTGGCGGCTACTGTGGTGATTGATGGAAGATAAATCAATTTATTTGAACCTCTAAAACCCTTTCACTCAAAATTGTCAAACCTTGTATGGATGACTGATTAAACTAATTGTTCTAAACTAGGTGCACTCTAAATCACTGGGTAGGTCTCATTTGAAGTATATAGACTTACACATTTTAGTCAAACATTTAAACTCTTTCTTGTCCATTTATTTGAAAATTTCTGATCAACTCCACAAGCTTTATCTATTTTCATTTTAACAGCTGCCTCAATTTTTGTTTCCAGAATTGGCATTTCGATCTTTATTTTATATTCATTTCTTACCTCAACTTTATCCTTATCATTGTATAGTTCTTCTAAGTATTCTGACCATCTTTCTTATTGTCGTTGCTTTTAATCATCCCAATCTATTTCTTTCTTTTTTTTCTGGTTCATTTATTTAATCTTTCTGTACATTTCCTTATAACTATACCTTCTGTTATCTTCCATCTCCTCGCTATTTGTAACCTGTCCGTATTATTTCACTTAACCCCAGAATGCCTCACTGCAGTCTTTCCATTTCTCAATAAATAATTACAACCTTATCAGCCTCATATACAGGAATGTCCTCCAATCTTTATTTTGTGTGTGTGTTCATTCTTAAACTTCCTTGCTAGTTCTCGGTGGCACACTACCCGTCAGCTCCTGAGGTAATGTGGTTGGACCTTTTGGTGACGATGATCCAACAGGAACGCCAGAATATCCTTTATTATGTCTGTACATCGTTGTTCAAGGGCAAGGGATGAAGTTAATGAGAATGGCTACCCAAACATTTTCTCATCAGAAGATTAATTATAGGAGAAGAAAAAGTTGGGAACGAACGATAGAGAGGTCGATTATACTTCACTCGGGTAAAGAACCAACACAGCAAAGTTACCTTAACTAAACCTAACCTAACCTAACTTAACCTAACCAAGCCAAACCTAACCAAACAAATCTTAGCCTAACTTAACCAAACTTAACCCAACCTAACCAAACACACCAAATTTAACCTGACACGGAACGGACATTCTAATCACAAATCACCAAAGACATGACACAACAACTATCAAAGAGCTGAACCAATCACATCACGAGAGAGTTGCTGTTAAGAGTCAAAACATCGAAATGGAAGAGTTTGGTTAAGTGGTGCCGTAGCTGACTGGTTACTGCTCGGGAAATAGCAATTAATCGTCAAGTGAGGTCGATCCTTAAAGCCAGGGTGAGTTTTCGTGTCATGTCGAGGTGTGGAGACGCACTATGTTGATATTGCTCTCTCTCTCTCTCTCTCTCTCTCTCTCTCTCTACAATATATACATCCACCTCTTTTTTTGTCCATGTAATTTTGTCCAAGGGGATTTTTTTTTGTGTACAAGGGAAAATTTTGTTCGAGGGGGGAATTTTGTCCGTAATAATTTCCTCCAGAGAGATTCCTTGTTTAGGGATTTGTGTCCAGAGAGATTATGTCCAGGAGGATGTTATATCCAAATAGATTGTGTCCAGGAGTGGGTTATGTCAAGATAGATTACGTGCAAGAGTAGTTACATCTTGATAAATTGTGTCCGCAAAGATTGTATCCAACGGTGAGTTATGTCCGACAGATTGTATCCAAGGGTGAGTTATGTCTGGATAGATTGTGTCCAGGACTGTGTTTCCTCTGCCCCAGACTGTCAACAGCAGCCACTAACTCAAACACCGCCTCTCCGATTTAAACACCAAAGTCATGTTGGTAAATTAACTGCCTGAATGACAGAGACTGGTAGTGGTGGTTGTGTGGAAGTGGTGGTGGTTGTGTGGTAGTGGTGGTGGTTTTGTGGAAGTGGTGGTGGCTGTGTGGTAATGGTTTTTATGTAGTGGTGGTTGTGTGGTAATGGTGGTTGTGTGGAAGTGGTGGTGGTTGTGTGGTAATGTTTTTTGTGTAGCACTGGTGGTTGTGGGTAGTGGTGGTGGTTGTGTGGCAATGGTGGTGGCTGTGGTAGTGGTGGTTGTGTGGAAGTGGTGGTGGTTGTGTGGTTGTGGTGGTTGAGTGGAAGTGGTAGGTTGTGTGGTAGTAGTGGTTGTGTGGTGGTGGTGGTGGTGGTGGTTGTGTGTAATGGCTTTTGTGTAGTAGTGGTGTTGTGTGGCAATGGGTGGTTGTGTGCAGGTGATGGTCAGGTGAGTGGTGGTGGTTGTGTGGTAATGGTGGTTGTGTGGGTAGGGTGATGGTTGTGTGGTGGTGGTGGTGGTTGTGTGGTAATGGTGGTTGTGTGTAGTGGTGGTGGCTAGTGTGGAAGTGGTGGTGGCTATGTGGTAGTGGTGGTGGTTATGTGGTAATGGTTGTGTGGGGAGTGGTGGTGGTTGTGTGGTAGTGGTGGTTGTGTGGTAGTGGTAGGTTGTGTGGAAGTGGTGATGGTTGTGTGGTAATGGTATTAGGGTGGTAGTGGTGATGGTTGTGTGGGTAGTGGTGGTGGTTGTGCTCCAGTGGTTGTGGTTATGTGGGTAATGGTTGTTGTGTGGGAGTGGTGGTGGTTGTGTGGTAGTGGTTTTGTGGTAGTGGTGGTGGTTGTGTGGTAGTGGTGGTGGTTGTGTGGTAGTGGTGGTGGTTGTATGATGATGGTGTTTGTGTGTTAATGGTGGTTGTGTGGTGGCGGTGTTTGTGTATTAGTGGTGGTGTTAGTGTGTTAGTGTTTGTGTTGTGATGAGGCTTTGTATCTAAGGTGTGTATGTGTGGTTGTGGGAGGTGATTATGTGGTGTTTGTAATGTGGTGTTTGTGCTGTAGTGGTTATAATGGTGTTTGTTTAGTAGCGTTTGTTGTTTGTGGCGCTCTGATATGTAGGAGTGATGGTGTCTAGGTATTGTATGGTGTTATGTGGTGTTGGAAACGGTTATGGTTTGGTGATAGTATGTGGTGTAAGGTCATTATGGTGTGGTGACCGTGATAGTGTGTGGTGTGAGGAGGTGGTTATGGTGTGGTGACCGTGATAGTGTGTGGTGTGAGGAGGTGGTTATGGTGTGGTGACCGTGATAGTGTGTGGTGTGAGGAGGTGGTTATGGTGTGGTGACCGTGATAGTGTGTGTGGAGGCGGTTATGGTGTGGTGACCGTGATAGTGTGTGGTGTGAGGAGTTGGTTATGGTGTAGTGACAGTGTGTGGTGTTGAGAGGTAGTTATGATGTGGTGATAGTGTGTGTATGGTGTGGTTATACTGTGTGTGGTGTTGTGAAGTGGTATATAGGGTTATGGTGTGTTTGTTATGATGTGTGGTTTAGTGTGGGCCATAGCGTCACTAATGGTTATGGTGTATGTATGGTGGCACGTAATAATGACAGAGTATAGTGCGGTATTGAGTATGGTGTAAATGAAGGGTGGTGAGAGGTCATTACACAATTAGTACAGAACTTATCATCATATCACCTGTATCACACCATGGAAATCATTATACGTATCATCACACTACACATGTATCACTATATCTTAACACCTACAGTATATACTACTTCTGACACTATAACCTCCACTATTTGTCACGTGTCTTGTTACCAAACCATAATTTACACCGGAGAGTAACACGGAATTATATCACTCTCGTTATTTATTGTCACGTATTATAGCATCGTCTAAGGGTCAGATTATTAGGAATTATCTACAAGAAAAACAAACTGAGAGAATAATTTACGAATAATTTACTGAATACTTATAATCTGTCACGAGATTTTACGCTTAGTTATATAATTATTGATGAGTTTAAAGAAGACTTGTCATAATGGGTAAAATAATCTATCAAAGGATTACTTTAGTGGATCATACTTTTCTATATAATCATCAGACATTTGCTTCCTTTAATTACACTAGTTGACCAGGGTTC